CCAGCCGTCACGCCGAGCAATGGCAACGCCCCCCCGCTGCACGCAACCGCGCGCGCGCCTCCGGCGAGCACGGTTGGCTGCGTACGGTGCGATAGAAGTTCAACGTAGACACGCACGCGCGTGCGATTCCTCTTCCCGGACCGTGATGGTCCCGCACACGGGGGCTCTGAGTGTGGTCGCGGTCAGCGCGCTGCGCTAAGGAACCCGGCGACCCGAGATCGATCTCCCGCTCACGGCCACCACCGGTGACGATCGTTTGAACCGGACCTGGGTCTCCCCTAGGTCGACTCAACCTCAAATGAGCACCTGGAACGGTGTGTAAACGTCGCCATTTAGGGAGACAAAGATGGCCGGGCGTGGTGTTTTGGCCACCCCCACCCCCCTTATGTGCCGTGCCGGCTTTCATAGGTGCTTCGCGAACAGCACTTGCCCCAGAAGTATGTTAAGGCTATACAGGGTGTCTTTGTCTCTGTGTGAGTCTCTGTCAGCATATGCTACAAGACAAATAGGATTCATACCGACACTGCTGTACATTGACAATTGCGCAACACGATTATTTGACAAATTTGTCAATTAATTCAAAGGACAACCACGCCAGTAGTTCATTATCAGCATCATCATCATCACAATGACGATATGCCCCTGTGCCTCAGAGCAAAAGGCACCTGGGTCCAATGCCTGACTAGCTGATCTTTGCTGTGTAGAGTTTGTACGTTCCCTCTCCCCCGTCTGAATGGGTTTTCCTCGAGCTGCTCTGTTTTCCTCGCATTGCGAAAACAATCCAACCGGTTGAACACGTGGCAAGCTCTCGCGACCAATATTATCCCTAATGAAGGTTATCGGGTTAGATCGCGTTGTTTATGAATGTGTCGTAACCCTCCACCACCCGACACGGCCAATCAGCAAAAAAAAAGGTGTCACGTTGACAAAAGACAAATAGTTCACTACTTTAGCCCCACACCGGTGTGTTGAAGAGTGAATCCACAACATTTACAGCTTGAGTAGTACGACGTTTCGCTGGTAATTACATTATTATGAATCCAACCGGTATTGGCCAAAACATCCCAAAGCTGATTTTTTTTTTACTGAAAAGTAATTCCTCAATTGGGGTTACACACACAGCAAAAGCGTTGCCTCTAGACTGTAAAACGAACAAAAAAACACTTGGCAGGACCCTGCTTAGAAACAGTCTTGAGACTCGGTGAGGCTTTACCTGGGTAATAACGCAAGCGTCAACACAATTATAATTACATTCACAAAGCTAGGCTCTCTCATGCGCACGACCACTTTTAAAACTATAATTCGAACGAGGCTGGTTTTGAAAATGAGTACGTAAGCGTGCACATAATTATTACACAGAGGCAATTAAAATGTACGGAGACAGCGCGGAGCTTACGGTGTGTGTTTTGAAAACACTTTGCCGTTTGCCGTACTATTCTTGCGTACGGCAGCGATGTGCTTGGGAGCGAGATGCCAATATCGAGGTCTGCTGCTCGCCACGACGAGAGGGCTTCAGGAGAGAGAGAGAGTCGGTGCCGTTCTACGCTATACCGCATTGTATAGCGCAGACGATACAATGCACGTGGTATTGATCATTACAATCGCACATTTCAACGTGCAATTCCAGCGACTGTGGACGATGCCGTGAGGTATTGCGGGCAGAGCGAGGGTGGCGATGGTCATAGCGGCGGCAAGCCGCAGCGTGGGCGAGTGTGGTGGTGACATCAGGGGTCAGTGACGTGGGCGAGTGTGGTGGTGACATCAGAGGTCAGTGACGTGGACGAGTGTGGTGGTGACATCAGGGGTCAGTGACGTGGGCGAGTGTGGTGGTGACATCAGGGGTCAGTAGCGTGGGCGAGTGTGGTGGTGACATCAGAGGTCAGTGACGTGGGCGAGTGTGGTGGTGACACCAGGGGTCAGTAGCGTGGGCGAGTGTGGTGGTGACATCAGGCGTCAGTAGCGTGGGCGAGTGTGGTGGTGACATCAGGGGTCAGTGAAGTGGGCGAGTGTGGTGGTGACATCAGAGGTCAGTGACGTGGCGAGTGTGGTGGTGACACCAGGGTCAGTGACGTGGGCGAGTGTGGTGGTGACATCAGGGTCAGTGACGTGGGCGAGTGTGGTGGTGACATCAGAGGTCAGTGAAGTGGGCGAGTGTGGTGGTGACATCAGAGGTCAGTGACGTGGGCGAGTGTGGTGGTGACATCAGGGGTGAGTGACGTGGGCGAGTGTGGTGGTGACACCGGGGTCAGTGACGTGGGCGAGTGTGGTGGTGACACCAGAGGTCAGTGACGTGGGCGAGTGTGATGGTGACACCAGCGTCAGTGACGTGGTCGAGTGTGGTTTGCCTGGGGATTCCCATTTCACATATTAATGTGTTGTTGTTGTTATTGTTCAGGCCATTGTGGAAAACTGGGCGCACCAAAGTTGATACATATCCTCATCTCCCCCCTTTATTCATGTAAGCGCAATTCTCACCCTATTCCTGTCCACGTGCCTGTAACTCTGATGTTGTTATTGTGCTGCGATCAGTCTAGGAATACCATACCGGAGCCCACTTGGACTCAGAGGAATTTAATAACCTAACAACGATTTATGTTCGTGCGATTTTTTTTCGATGTCTCTCGTGAAGCTGCGCTTGTTTTTTTCTTTCTTTTAGCCCTCATTCTTTTTGCTGCATTCGTGCTGCTGCAGACTGCCACGCTTCACCTCACTTTGTTTTAGCTTTCGTCTCGCTGGTGGTCCGGGGTCGCTCATGCGAATGAGCCTCCTGCCCTGACCCCATGATCTCACACCCGGTTACACCGAAACCCAACTTGACTTGGCCTTAGTCATAATCGGTGCATGGGGCTCGCACGCCCGCCTTCAACTATTGCACGAAATATTGAAGTGAAGTCTGTGTGAGTGTGTGTCACGGTGTGTGTGTGTGTGTCACTATGTGTGTGTGTGGTGAGCGGTAGTGCAGCGGTCAGTGCGCTTCGCTACGAAACCGCCGACCAGAGTTCGATTCCCACTCACGGCCAACACCCGTGACGATTATATAATTATCTGAACTTGTCATGGGCCTTCCCTAGTTCGACTCAGCCTCAAATGAGTACCTGGTGTGGTGTGTAAACATCGCCACTGGGGAGACAAAGGCGGCCGGGCGTGGTACTGGCCACCCACCCCACCCCCCCCCCCCGTGTGCCATTCCTGCCTTCATCGGTGCTCGCTAACAGCACTTGCCCCAACAGTTTTGTCAGGATATATGGGAGATCTTTGTTTTGTCTGTGTGTGAGAACATATTTGATCTGTCCGCTATTGCCAAACGTAGTGCAGGAGTGTAGTGGTGAGCGCACTGTGGCTACTGAGCCAGTGACCCAAGGTCAATTTCCGCTCACGACCAACAACAGTGGCGAATGTTTGAAATGGTCCTGGGCCTCCCCGAGGTCGACTCAGCCTCACTTGATTACCTGGTGGGATGTGTAAACATCACCACGAGGGAGACAAAGGCAGCCGGGCGTGGTGTTGGACTCCCACTCCCTTTGTATGCCGTGCCGTCCTTCATAAGCGTTCGTTAAAAGCACTTGTCCTAACAATGACAAAGGGGACCTTTGTCATTGTCTTTTGTGCGAAGATATTCGATCTGCCTGCTGTTTTTTGCAAATATTGTACGCATGTTTTATTATGTCATGTATAATTTTTATCATAATCGTTCATAAACCATGCACATCTGAACGTTGTTGATTCTTTTTCCCATTATAGTGCGGTAAGCGCCCATTCGAATGGGCAGAGAACATGCGAACATATAGAGGACCGCAGAGCTTGGGAAATTGTTGGTCACGTCCCGCTTGTTTGTGGTTCCTCCTCGCCACCCCCCCCCCCCCCCCCCCGTGAGTCGTTTTCTCTTTGCCAGAGCGAGCGACAATAGTTAAACACGTAGTAGGGCTTTCGAGACCAATATTAACCAATATAGAGGTTTTTGTTGTTAGATCTAAATATGTCGTTAAACCCGCCACCACCCGACGCAGCCAATTAGTAAGGTTTGTCATGTAAACAAAACGTGCCAATTCGTTACTAGTACAGCAACACCGGTTGTGTGTTGGAGAGTGAACCCACCACATTTACAATTCGAGTACCATGATGTGTCGCCTTTAATAACAACCAGCATCATCAGGCGGCAGCCAGAGAGTTGTAGAGAAATCCTGTTTCGGTCTTAAATAGAGGAGGGATTAATGTGACGTCGTCACTTTCGAACGACTACTCTGCAGTTTTGCAAAGTATAGGAAAGGTTAACAAATCACTATAAAAATATGTGCAAATAAAATAAAACATTTCTCATCTTACCAGGTAAGGCCCACTGAGCTGTATAGCTCTTTTTAGAAGTGACCTGGCCACAATTGACAGCTAAAACAAGTGGCTTATCACGTATAAATCTATAGCAGCCAAATACTCTAAACGCATGTTGATTTTAAATATGGAGGGAAAAACCGGAGGACTCGGAGAAAAATCCATACGACCACGGGGAGACCGTGCAAACCCCAAATATAGAGGCGTGAGGGTCGCGATCGAACCCACGACACTCTGTATACCAGGCAAGGTAGTTAACATCTCGCCACCGTGGCACCCAAGCGACCACACATCGTTGTTGGTCCGCTGCTTTCCGGTGTTCCCGGAGAAGTCGGCCACCTCACCTCAACCACCCGGGGAGATTCCCCTCGCGTGCGGTGAGAGACGGAGTTGAGTCGGCCCCGATGCGAGAGCTCCCCGCCCAATCACCCAACGGACGAGAAGGGCCCCAATCAACGCGTCTGGTGAGCGGGGCTGCCCGGGCGGGCGACATTTCTCGACGCATTTGCAGTGCACGTGACCTCTCAACGTCCGTTTGCCGCGTTTGCATCAGGCAATGAATCAGCAGCGGCTGCTCTGCTCTGAAGACCGCAGATGTTTTGAACGCGTCGCCGAGACGTCTCGAGTTGACTTGCATGATCTTGTATTTGATGTTGTCATTTGTTTTCGACCAGGTGTTAACCGCGGTCGGGGATGGAGCGGTGGCTCGGTGGTCGGCGCACCGTGCTGTGAACCGGTGACCTGGGTTCAATTCCTGGCCACGGGTAGTCATCTTCGGTGAGTGAAGATCTGAGCAGTCGCTTGCCCACCCCCACGCGTTTCACCAACTCCCATTGACCAGCCACAACAACCGCCATTCACCACCAAGTGGCGGTGATGTCACCACCGTGCTTGTGCTAGGGTATGTGCACGTTAAGGCCACGTGGAAGTGGCGAAAGCCTGCTGGCAGGAGGTCACGGAGCAGAACCAGGTGCCATGGGTCGACTGACTGATATGACTGGCCGATGCACCACCTGTGCCCCCTTCTGTGCCAACCTGCTGTGTTTTAGCCCCTGGCACTCTACTCGTGGTTGTGAGCATCCCTCCTCTGCCCTCCGTTGTTGCTGGATGGCGATTGCCTCCAACTGCCCAGTAGCAACATCCTTTACGAGCCTCCTCCACAGAGGCCGATCTTGACACCGCTGGTACCAGTCATCGGCAAGTCCACTCAGCTCCACGTGCTTTTGTACCACATCACTCCATCTCTTCTCTAGCCATTGCCGCGCCCGTTTAGTCCCCTCTATCTGGCCGAAAAAAGTTGTTTAGGCATGCGGTGGCTGGGCATGCGGACTACATGGCCCAGCCAATGCAAGCTTGCCTGCTGGAGGAGCTCACCGATGGGACTGTGTCCAGATCTTTCAAGGAGCTCCTCAAACAATCCAGCCTGGTGAAACCCAAGGTGGGTCGTAGGCAGGACAGCCTAAATGTTTCTAACCGGTGAAGATGTTCTATTCGGGGGGTCCACGTTTTACAAGCATAAAGAAGGGAGGGAAGACCTGCAGCATCGTGTGGAGTGACGAACCAGGTAGCTTCCACACAGCGCTATGCAGCCAATAAAACGATAATACCGCTCGACTGATTCGGAGTGAGACCTCCACTGTCAAACCAGAGCTGGTCATGAGCACACTCCCCAGGTATGATAAACTCTCCACTCTCTCCACAACTTCCCCATTACCAATTGGGGGTTGTGGGGATGGAGTGTCTGATGGTACTAAATACCCAGGCAGGTGCTTAGTTTTGGTGGAATTGATGGTAAGGCCCCACTTCTTAGTGGCACGCTCCAGGTTCAGCGTGCAGCACATCCAACTCCTCCTCTGAGTGAGCATCAATCACCAGATCATCGGCATACATAACATGATTGACCAATAGGGAGCCATCCCTTGACCGCACCCGGGCATCGATCAGCCTCCCATTATATCTGTACCAGATGGAAATTCCTCCAGTACAGCCATCGAAGGCTTCACAAACTACGTGGTTGAAATACATGTTAAATAATGTGAGAGCCAGAGGACATCCCTGTCACACCCCAAGGTGAATAGGGAATGGCTCCGACTCCCGGTGACATAGTTTTACCCGGGCCCGCTCACCATGATGAAGGTCCTTAATGATTCTGAGTAGAGAGTCAGGGACTCGGATAGCATGAAGAACAACCCAGAGCCCAGGCCTACTGATGATATAATAGTCCTTGACCAGGTCAATGAAGCAGAGATGTAGGTCTTGTTGGAATTCCCTACACCTCTGCTGTAGCAGACAGACAGAAATATGGCATCTGTGCAGGACCGCCCTATCCTGAAACCACATTGGGGCTCCGCAAGGCTCTCCTCGGCGTGCCTGGAAAGTCGATGTTGAATAATCCTTGCCAGGACCTTTGCCGGCACATTGAGGAGTGAGATGCCCCTGTAGTTGTTACACTCTGTGCGGTCCCCCTTCTTAAAAAGGGGACGATCAGGGCATCCTTTCAATCCTGCAGAACCCATACAGTGGTCCAAACTGTTATTATGATGTCATGCAGGGTAGTCTGTGCACAAACGCCACCCTTCCTCCCCCAAGAACTGCTCAGCAAATCTGCAAACCTCTTCCTGGGGGTCGGAGATTGTATCACCATTCTTTCCCCTAATGATGCTGATAGGTGTGGTGCTGCAAGTTACTTTTTCGATGGAGTTAAAGAGTGATTTGTATTTGCGGGCCACTGAGGCAGATTCCATCACCTCAGCAAGCCGCAACTACCACCCATCCTTACAGCGCCTCATGGCTCTCCAAGCCTCTGAGCGAAGGCCACGGTAAGCCTCCTTATTCTCTGATGTGGGATGCTGGAGATGGTGAGAGTGGGCCTGTCACTTTTTCTCAGCCAGCCTGAACACCTCCTCTATCATCCACAGTCGTAAACCTTGCCCATTTCCCCTCGGCATCAGGAGGAGTGAGGAACGATGCCAACCCCAGCTGAAAGCAATGATGAAATTCTTGGTTGCAACTTTCATCAGCTAGCTGAGACCAGGCCACTGTGGGTTTGAATGGAGTCCTAGGTGTACACCCACCACCGGAGTGGAAGAATGGCGGGCGCACCTTACATATGACAAGTCGATGGTCAGCGGGCAGATCAGCTCCACGGTAGGCCCTGGTGTCAAGGACATGGGCCCGCATCCGCTGGTCCATCACTATCTAGTCCAGCAGATGTTCTTGCTTGGACCTGGCGTGCATCCATGATGTTCTGTGGATGTGCCAATACTACTGAATTATAACAATGATCTGCATTGGTCCTGCCAACACCTCGGCCGTGGCAGATCATTGTTATAATTCAGTAGGCTCACATGACATTGACTTTTCCAAGACAGAGGTTCTTTGTAAGCCATCTGGCTACCATGAGAGATTCGTTCATGAGGCTATCCACATATACAAGCACAGAGACAATTTCAACCGAGAAGATGGATTCTGGCTTAGCAATCATTGGAAATATTTGATAAACCATTTCAGGTCTTAATTGATTGTTCACGCTTACAGTGGCTTTCAGACAGCATACATTAATTTTCGTCTCCCCCCTCCTCTTTTCAGAACATAGATGGACTAGTCCTTCTAAATAAACTGCTAAATCGCTGCGCGTGGCGCTGACGTTTTTTTTTATAAATAAATACACCGTTTTAGAATAAATAAATTAATGCAAACCGACACACCTGATGACGACCGTTTGTGTTATGGTCGAAACGTCGTGAGAATTTTTTTATTGTTTTATATATATTTTATTATTTTATTGTTTCCCTTCAACGTGACTTTACCGAAAGAGCTAAGAATAGGCTGTAGATAATTCAATTCTTATTGTTAATGTGAACCATCATGACACTGGTTGTAACCACCAGCGAAATGTCGCTGCCCAATTGATAACCATTGTGACATCGCTCCCCAACGCAGCACACCGTGGTGCTGAAGCAGTCATGAATTGTCGCGTGTGCTGACATGACGACTCTATTCATCAGCCCCCGTCGGGTGGAGGAGGGTTTACGACGCGCATTTTGCTCACCGCGGCAATCTTGACCCCAACATTAGGCTTGTAAATTCCGATACCGGTGGCGAAAGCCCTCTGCGCATTAAACCCACGCTGTCGAGTCCAGGCCAGAAAGTAACGCCGCTCCCCGCTCATTTTCACGCCAAATCCTCGCAGGTTCACGCCGACCACCCAACCCGCACGCCCGCCCGCCCACCCACCGACCGCCTTGCGGAGCGGTGGAGGGTGGCGGGGGGCGGTAGCGACGCCACGATGGAGTTCCTCGCGGCGCCGTGGAACGCCAGCGAGATGTCCGCTGCCGCTAACACCACCGCCACCAACGGCTCGGAGCGGCCGCTCCCTCCGGCCGCCACGCTCGATGCCTCCGAGGCCTCCTCCCTCTCCTCCTCCTCCGCGGCCAAGGTTGCCACCTCGCTGACGCTGGCCGCCCTGGCGCTGGCCACCGTCGTGGTGAACGCGCTCGTCATCGCGGCCATCTCGGCCACGCGCAAGCTGCGCCAGCCCGCCAACTACCTCATCGGCTCGCTGGCCGTGGCCGACCTCCTCGTGGCCGCGCTGGTGATGCCCGTGGCGGCGGCCTACGTGGTGACGGGCGAGTGGGCGCTGGGCGGTGCCCTCTGCGACCTGTGGCTCAGCCTGGACGTCACCTGCTGCACGGCCTCCATCCTGCACCTGTGCGCCATCGCCCTCGACCGCTTCTGGGCCATCACGGACGCGGCCGAGTATGCGCACAAGCGCACGCCGGGACGCGCCGCGCTCATGATCGCCGCGTCCTGGCTGCTGGCGGCGTGCATTTCGGTGCCGCCGCTCTTCTGGCGCCGGCGCGACCCCGCCAAGCCGCGGTGCATCATCGAGCACGACCACGTGCTCTACACCATCTACTCCACATTCGGCGCCTTCTACGTGCCGCTCGCGCTCCTGCTGGCGCTCTACTGCCGCATCTTCCGCGCCGCCAAGCGTCTGTACGAGAAGCGCGAGTCGAAGCAGCGCGAGAAGCTGAGCGTGAGCGCAGAGAGCGCCGTGAGCCTGGAGCAGCCTTCGCAGTCCCAGCACCAGCAGCAGCAGCAGCCGGCCGGTAAGCTGTTCCGGCTGCCGCAGCCGTTCTGCATGTCGGAGACCTCGTCCTCGGACCAGACGCTGGCGCAGGCGGAGCGCTCCGGGCAGCACCAGCAGAGCGTCAGCGCGGTGGCGCGGCGCTCCAAGCGCTCTCTGCGCCCGCCCCGCTCCGTCCGCTTCATGAGCGCGCGGCTCGACCAGCGGCGGCCGTGCCTCCAGGAGCGCATCTCGGGCTCGCGCGAGCGCCGTGCCGCCAAGACGCTGGGGCTCATCCTGGGTGCGTTCGTCGTGTGCTGGCTGCCGTTCTTCATCAAGGAGCTCGTGGTGAACCTGTGCAAGTCGTGCGCCGTGTCGCCCGAGGTGGCCGACCTGCTCACGTGGCTCGGCTACATGAACTCGCTCATCAACCCGCTCATCTACACCATGTTCAACGAGGACTTCAAATCGGCCTTCAGGAAGCTCGTGTCCAGGCAGCCGAGGCTGTGAGGGCGCTCCCGGACGGTGGGGCCGGGAGGGATGTGGAGACGGCCGACTGACCGGCCGGCTGGCTGACTGGCTGGACTGGCTGACTGGCTGACTGACTGGCTGGCCGACTGGCTGACTGGCTGACTGACTGGCTGACTGTCCGGCCGGCTGGCTGACTGACTGGCCGGCCAGCTGCCCTTCGCGGGACTAGAAGTGATGACGGCCGATGGTCGAGACTAACCGTGGAGTAGGCAGCCAAAGGGATGGAAACGTGAAGGCTTCACAGAGGATGTCAGCCGAGGAGATGGAGCGATGGGTTCGGGTCGTGTATGTACGTACGCGTGTTGAACTTCTTTCGCACCGCATGCAGCCAACCGCGATAATCGGAGGTGTGGGGGGTCGAGGACAACAAACTAAACACAAAAATCAGTTCGAAAGAAATGAGTTGGTCAATGTAGATGATTTAAAAGTGCATAGCTCCAGTGGCTTTCTCACATCGGAAGGAAGAGCGTTCCAGACGGCCGCAGAAGTGCGTGTTAAAGCGCGCGATGCGGTAACCGTTTTTGTTCAATGGCTAATCAAAGCTCGCCGCTGCTGCGAGGATGACCGGAGTTCACGTGGCGAAGGTTTACACTCCTTGGCGAGATCAGAACCCGGGTCGTGCGCTGCAGGTGGCTGGGTGGATGGTTGCATCGCAGGATCGTGAGAATTGGCGGCGACTTAGGGAGGCCTCCGTCCAGCAGCAGGATTGAGCGCATGGCTGGTGGTGACCGAAACGTCTGACAGTTATATCCTCACGGAGGGTTTATTCTCTAGGGAGAGCCCCCGCTGCCTCAATTCACAGCTCCCGTTGCGGAGCGGTAAATGTGCGTAACGAATATCGTCTTATTGGGGGAAGGGAATCGTTTTTCAGTCGTCATTATTTGGCATAAATATGCGGGGCAAAACACGGACAAACACGTGCTCAGTTTACAGACATAGCTTCGATGTGTGAAATATCTGGCGAGTTCATCAGTGTTGAGCCAAAACGCGGACTGAATGAGTGCATTTAACAGAGATTGCCATGGCTTGTATGTATGTGTGTACAATGTTGAACTTCTTTCACGCCATTCGTAGCCAACAGTGTTAATCGGAGGTGTGGGGGAACGACAACAAACTTAACACAAAAAGCAGTTCTAAAGAAATCCAGATTTGGAAGTGCATAGCACCGGTGGCTTCCTTATATCGGAAGTAAGAGCGTTCCAGACGGCCGCAAAAGCGCATCCGAAATTGAGCGCAATGCGGTGACCGTCTTTGTTCGATGGCTAAGCCAAATGCCGCTGGTGGTCGGAGTTCGCGTGACGGTTCATGCTCCTTAACGAGATTAGCAAAGGTATTGTGGTTCATTTGTGGCAAGCACTTTGTGCATAATGAGTATCTGGAATATTGCACATTTTTTTTGACCTCTGAACCCAGGTTATCTTGTGAAAGAACTTTAACTATATTTTATTATTATTTTATTAATCCCTGTACATTTCTGTAAAGCTCCTGTTGAGGACACGTGCAGTGTAATATATATGTACATAGACATTTATAATGGCGTGTACAATGGCTAAGTTATCAGGATTCATAAAAAATTCATACAAATAAAGGCCAAGGTCAATGCTCTTTGTGTTTTTGTGTGTTTTTTTATTGGATAAAGGCGCAGCCCTGCGATTGCCCGCTCGCGGCACTGCTGGCGGAAGGGGCCTCCGTTGTTAGAGGGAGCTTTAGAGAGACCCCCACCCCACCCCCTTTCAGAGGGCATTTGGTGAAATCCTCCACGCTGGCCAGACGCTCCTCGGGAGAGATGGGAGCGCCCACACTTCATCCCCACCGGACCACGCGACATTGTCCATCGACGAACACTGCCATGGGTGGACGGAGGAGGAGGCGTGGAGAGGATTTCAGAAAAATTGCCCCATTGTCTCAGCTTGCCGCGCCGGGAGCGATCGAACCGGCGGCCTCGGGATTGCGGCTCCGTTACCCTGAGCGCTCCGGCACGGCGGAATGCTCGTCACCGCAGCGTCAATTAATCCAGGCGTCAGATTCATCGGAGTCAGAACCTTTATTTTGGTCTGGTCTGGAGGAATCCGATGAGCTATGAAGCACTTTTCTCTCTCGCAGCTCTGCAGTTATGGGCGGGCCAGCGAGTTGCAACAGCAAAACAACTCAAAGGCGACGGTTGGAGAGCGAATATAAATAAAATAATTATATTGCACGGTGAAAGCACAACGCTTCCAATCAGAAGCGTGCGAGTTCAACTCCCGGCGTGGGATCAGCTGAGATTGTTACCCATCTCGAGTGAATAAAACAATAATTCTTTCGCGCTTTCGTGTGTTGCTGGCGCCACGGGTCCAAGTTTGGCAAGTTTGGGGACGACTCACAAAGTGCTTGATTGGGAAACAAAAAGCAACATCACTCCCTAACAGGCAAGATGGTGCTGTTCTAGATTTAAAGCTTTCGTGACTGCTAGGATCCATACTCTTTGGTTCTATTGGGTAAAGTCACGTAGGTGAAAATAAAATAACAATAAATCACGACGTTTCGGCCACAACACAAGCGGCCTTCATCAGGTGAAGGGACGAGACTGTCTGGAGGACAGCGCTGAAGTGAGAGAAGCCACGCTTAGATCACGACCTTTAAGCTGTGTGAGAAGAAAAACACCAAGCGCCTTGACAAAGGAATTAGCATATAATTTAGCATTGAAATGGCTCATTGAAATAGCTAAGTTAAAGTATACACATCCGCATTTCAATTCTATGCTAATTCCTTTGTCAAGGGGTACCTCTGCGGATGTGTATACTTTAACTTAGCTATTTCAATGAGCCATTTCAATGCTAAATTCTATGCTAATTCCTTTGTCAAGGCGCTTTGTTTTCTTCTCACACAGCTTAAAGGTCGTGATCTAAGCGTGGCTTCTCTCACTCCAGCGCTGTCCTCCAGACAGTCTCGTCCCTTCACCTGATGAAGGCCGCTTGTGTTGTGGCCGAAACGTCGTGATTTTTTGTTATTTTATTTTCACCTACGTGACTTTACCCAATAGAACCAAAGAGTAAAGATGGTGCTGTGTCCACGCTGTGTCACACAGGGACAGCTGCCATCAGGGGGGGGGGGGTCCCGTAGGCTAAACGACAAACTACAGCTGGGCATTGGAATGATTGAGATGCTGTGTGAGGAACTTTGAGTTCCAGAGACGTGTGAGCAAGTGCCCTGTCAATGTAAATCCGTTTCATTCGATGGCAAGTCAAAAGCGGTTGTCCTGTGTCGAGACTGGTCCCTCCACCACGAGAATGTGGAATTTGAAACCCCTTGGCTCATGGAGTGATAACAAAGCTAAGTGCCACCGCATTGCTCGGGGTGCCACGGTGGCGAGAAGATGCTCTCTGCCTCGCCTGGTACACAGGAGCTAGTGGGTTCGGTCCCGACTCCTGTTGCTTGTATATTTGGAGTCCGAGTGGTCTCTCTCTCTCTCTCTCCCCCCGTGGTGATCGCATGGATTTTTCTGTTTGGGTTCCTCCCGTTTTGCCCTCCACATTTAGAAACAACGCCCATTTATATTATTTGTCTGCTACCATGAATTCGGACGTGTGGTGATGATGATGATGATCTCAACCGCTGCGGTGAGCTATCATGTGTGGGCAAGTCGCCTCTGAAAAAAGAGCTACAGAATATAGCTCAGTGGGCCTTATCTGGTGAAAATTAAAGAATAGTTTAGTTTAGCTTGAGCAGGGGAGGCAGCGTGCAGCCTCCGTGGTGAATTGCTGAGCGAGGCTGCAGCCAGAGGCAGAGGAGCTGTCGATAGAGCGATGACTCCGCGAGGCGACGAAGAGAATCCCACCAGCTCCACGTACGGGAGATGCGTCGTCATAAGCTGCAAGGAGAAGAACACAAAAATAATAATAATAACCAACACGCATTTCGGTGGCTGCGGGTTTCAGTAATTGCTTTCCTGGCGACACACAGCCAGAGGCTTCTGGACGGGATTACAGTGGCGGCGGGGATGTTTTGGGTTTTTGGCGGACAGTGGACGGCGTTTTTTAAAAATAATTTAACGCGTCATGTGGCTTTGTTGTTGTTGTTGTTTTCATCTCCTCATAATGAGCGCGCGAGCTGATTTGTTGTTGGCAAAGTGTAGTAGCGATAAGTGGAAGGTTTTTTTTTTTACTCCGTGTCAAAATCAGTTAATAAATGCGAATAATTATATGCAAAACTATAGGATTTCCCCTCATCTACGGTATGTAAACCAGGAGAGTGTAGTATGACGATAACGATGATGGTATTAACACTGAATAAAATTATAAAATACGAAAAAAAATTGCAGCCATTCTCAATCTACTGATGGCTGGAAGACAGCCCAAGAAGTTGTCGGTCATGGTTAGTATTTTTAGTTTTTGACCATACTTCACCACGCCGGTCGAGCGCGATTTGGTGAAGGAGGCAGGGGTTGGCGACGTCTTGGCTTGTTCTGGTTGCACTCACCAGCGATGTTAGCCGTGGCGGTGGAATGGAACTTTGGTTCGAGAGGTTTAGTGGGCAGTGCGTTAACCCGTTCCCACCGCGCTCCCACCCGCTGCCTCCAGGCGGCCGCGTGGAATTAAAGACGTGAGACAAAAGCAAAAACAACAAACACGAACGGTTCACATTTCACATCGTTCTTTTCGTTTGTTCCAAATGCCAGCGCTATTCTTCCCTCGACAGTTCGAGAAGCACACGGAGTCTGGCCAGAGCTGAAATGATCTCACGTGGGACTTCACATTTAGATAGAATAACAGAGGGGGGTGGCGGTGGAGTTGGGCGGGGGGGGGGGAGATCTTCCTCTCCGCTTGCTTAAAAATCGATAAGCGTAACCGTATTGGTTTCTAAAATTGGAAGGAAAAATTTTCCGCAATTTGTCGCGGGGAAAATATCTGGTGGACGCAGCTGCTTCCACTTCTGAGCCCACCTCGCACCGCTCTGTATTATTATTATCCTCTGCGGCATCTGTCATTCCGCCGAGGATTATAACGGCCGGGTTCCTTTTGTCGTGGGCGGGATGCGTCTGCGACGCCGCTCTGTGTCCCGGATCTGCCGCGGTGGCTCGGAGATGTCAACTACCTCGCCTGGGCTACAGGAGGTTCGTGAGTTCGATCCCGGCCCCCTGGCGCCCGCTGTATATTCGGAGTTTGCGTCTCTCTCTGTCTCTCTGGTCTTGTGGATTTTTTTTCCGGGTTCTCCGGTGTTTCCCTTCCCCCCCCCCCCCCCCCCCTCCACATTTGGAATCAACGTGCGTATACAATATTTGGCCGCTATAATTTGCACGCGATGATAAGCCACTGCGTTGAGCTATCATTTGTGGCCAGCTCGTTTCTGGGAAAAAAGACTTATATAGCTCAGTGGGCCTTATCTGG